CAGTAATTTCTGTGCTTATTGTACACATTTGATGAGGGAATTCATGAGAAGTCTTTCATTGTTTGTTTGGTTTGAGAAAGTACTCAAAATTATTATTTCCAGCTAAGTCTTTATTCCTTTTTCTATTTTTTTCTGGCTTACCCATTAGAAAAACTCAGAGTTAAATAAATAAAATTTCCTATTTTATGTATCATTACTTTAGAAACTTAAACATATTACAATAAAGCATCTCAAATATATTCACTGCAATTTCTTTGAAGGGATCTTTTTCTGAAATTCCTGCTGAGACTTACAGGTTAAGGTAAAGGGTTTTAACCCTTTATGTCAAAATCACTTCTTAATCAAATTCATGTAAAAAAGCAGTCATCTATTCTCCACATTGTAGGCACAGGTCTGTTGGGGCTATCTCCTCAGCACCCCTCCCCCAGTGACCCCTTGACCCAATTTGCAAAGCCCTTGGGATCTAGATCCTTCCCTCCTCAGTGCCTGACACGGCAGCTACACATGAAATAGGTTGGTGAGTGAGGGAATGAGTGGAGATAAAAGTGCCCGTATTTCTCCAAGTATTTGTATTAAAAACTTCTATTGAAAGGAAATATCCTGAAAAAGAAAATTCTTTAACCACAAATTAAATCTTGTTTTTATGCTGGAACTGCTCAGTACCTGATTTTCCAGGAGATGGGGAAGAAACATGACACGTAAGTCAATGATGGAGTTTTTGGAAAGAAGTTGGGTATTAGGAGAGAAACATACAGGGTAGGTGAGAGGAACTGGAAGGGGAGGCAGGATGCACCTGGGTCAGAGGAGACTCTAATGTAAGGTCAGAAAAACCCAAGGCCAGAATAACGAAACATCTAGTTACACGTGAATTTCAGATTAACACCAAACACTCATTGACTATCTAAAATCCACATGTAACCAGTACCTAATATTTTCTCTGACAACCTTACTCCACTGAAAGTGTGATTTGAACCAAGATGTGAAGGGGATCTAAGACAGTAATGTAGGAGCATGTCCAGGCTGGGGCTGTGGAGTGAATACTGTCAGAGAAGTAATGGGGCCACGAGGGAGGCAGATCATGTTGGGCCTGAAGGCCTTTGGAAGGACTTTGTTTTTTCTCTGAGTGAACCTAGACTCTACTGTAGGATTTTCAGGATAGTGACCTGCACCTGTTTACAACTGTAAAGGATCACTGACTGCAGTACAAATAGGATTCAGCACTATCCTGGGATCCAGGCTTCCACTGTGGCCCTTAGAACTACACCCCATGGATAAAGCGGGGAGGTCTGCTGTATACTCAGCCCCTCCCGTGCTTGTTTGGCAATGTATGTTGGATATATAAGTTAAATTTTTCATAATCCCCTTTTTAAAAAATCTCAACAGTACAATGGGCTGAGCCTTAGGCAAGAGACTAAGGAAAACAGAGATTATTCCTGTAGTTTCCCCACCCTTTTTTCTGCAGACTTGTTAATTGACAATGATAGTTCACTTACTTCTTGTCTTTCTATTGAGACAGGAAAGTAAGATTAGGCTGAAAACAAGGGAAAAAGCAGTAGTAAACAGCTATGTACTTGGCTGCCACATGAAGTCTGGAGATTTTAGCAGCAATGTGACTTTTTCAGTGTCGTTCCCAAGCTATTAAGGCCTAAATGCTAAAATCAAGAGAGATGACACAGAAAAGAAACAGTTCATGTCAGTTCATCATGAGCATGTATCTGGGCCTCACTATCCCTGTCTGCAATCTGTGGGTCTCCTTTAATCTACAACAAGTCATTTGTTAACCCACATCTCTTAAAATTAGTCTAGAAAATCTCCACAGGTGGCTTGTTTTCTAAGATTGGAAGATAAGTGCTTGGAAAGTTACCCACTCTAGGGTCCATACACACAACCAGAAATAGAGCATGGGGTTAAGGGTGTAGATGGATGATGAGATTATTTACCTAGTGTGCACAAGGCCCTGGGTCTACGTCCCTAGAATGAGAGACAGAGGGAGAAGGGGAGCCTATATTTGACCTAGTTTTTTTCTATTGTATTTAAGACATGGTAGGGTCTTGGGTGGCCTGAAACAAATAAGGCAAATGTTAACACCTGTGAAATCTGGGCAGTAGGATATGGTTGTAGTATATTCTTGAACATAAACTTGAAATAGTCATATTTCTAATGGGCTCCCAGTTTCACAATTCTAGAATGACAAATATCTATTATAAATCTCCTTTGTTTGACAGTCTGTGAAAATTCAAAGATGTTTTAACAGTTATCTGTGTTGCTGCACTGTCCTTTTAAGTGATTTCATTTTTTCTTAGAATTTAGTCTTAGCAAAATTGGGAATAATTGTCAATGATTTAATTCCTGGGATAATGAAATAACAAAATGTTTCAAAAGATGTAAAGAAAATTTAATCACTAAGATCTCAAAATATGTCTTATAAGAATCTAAAGAACCTACATGGGAATAGTGATAAGAGTTTTAATCTATTTTTAAAAAGTAATTTTGTCCTTTCTACAAGATCCAAGAAAGGCTAAACATTATGAAATTATCGAGAAACTCAAACTAACATCTTGTTCAAGAGACCCAGGATCTAAAACATTGTCAGTTGTCACTGAAAAAAATTTCTTAAGGCACTGAATTTTTTATAGGCCAACTGTATGTTCATTGTGGTAGGTCACAGGGGCATGAGCCTTCATTCCCTAAGGCCTGGGCACATGGAGATCCTATCAAGCCAGATGTCATTCTCTGGGGTGGAGAGTTGACCCACAATTGAGAATATGAATTCTTTTTCCAGATTTTAGATCATAAAAACAAAGAATACTGGAGACCAAGGGCTAAGTCATGACTGGCAGCCCCCTGAAGTGACAGCATTCACAGAGATGCAAACAGGGAGATCTTTTCTGTTGAAACTGCTGAAAACCAGGTTCAGACATTATCATGAGTCTGAAATTCAGGGGCCTTAGGATTACAGCCAGACATTTGGGAAGCCCAACTCCTCTCTAAGGAGGAGCATGCAAATGCCCATTCCCACCCTTCCCAACTCTTTGTGAAACACTTTCATAAATTATAACCTGCGGGGGATGGGGG